GAAAATTTTATGGCGACGCTTCAAGCCTTCGAACGCTATTTAATATTATTTTCTCGTAATTTGTTTTCAAAAACAAAAGCAAAATATTAGACAACTAAACGAAAATTTGTTTTGCCCGGTCTATAGCATGAACTCAAAGCTTGCTTCACAAACATTCTTTCCAATGGCGAAAAGCAAACATGTTCTGTCTCTCAAACTATCTTTAATCCTTCATAATATTCTCATTGCTTCCGCCGCAGCCGTAGCTACCAACGGTCTGGATTCTCCGTCATCCAAAACATAGCGTCCCTGGCCCTTCAAGAAACTCAACAAACCGGTGGTTTTGATGATTTCTTGCGATGGTTTCCGGTTCGGTTAACAATTTAAAACCGACACACCAAACATCGACCTTCTCATATCCGGAGGAACCAAAGCAAAACTCGGTTTAATCCCAGTCTTCCCCACCATGACATTCCCAAACCACTACTCTATTGCAACCGGACTCTACCCGGCTTACCACGGTATAATCATGAACAAATTCACTGATCCAGTAACCGAAGAAGTGTTCAACAAAGGCCTAGCCCCGAAATGGTGGTTAGGCGAGCCGTTGTGGGTAACCGCAGCAAACCAAGGTCGTAAGGCTTTGACTTACTTTTGGCCAGGTTCTGAAGTTCCCAAAGGTTCTTGGACTTGCCCTAAAGGATTGTGTCCACATTTTAATCTTTATGTTTCTTTCAAAGAAAGAGTCAATACTATCTTGAGCTATTTAGATCTCCCTGAGGACGAAATCCCTGATTTGATGATGTTGTATTTCAATGAGCCGGACGGAGAGGGTCATAACTACGGTCCTGATGATCCTCGGGTTACAGCTGCGGTCACGAGGGTCGATAAAGCGATCGGGAGGGTTATTTAGGGGCTGAACAAGAGGGAGATCTTTGATGAGGTTCATGTGATATTGCTTGGTGATCACGGAATGGTGACTAACTGTGACTTGAAAACAATTTACATTGATGATTTAGTAGATTGGATCAAGATACCTTCTGATTGGATTAACGCTTATAGCCCGGTACTAGCAATAAATCCCCGGTGGGGTGAAGATGTGGAGAATCCTGGCGAGAAGAACGTAGAACTTGTGGCCAAGATGAACTAAGCTTTGAGCTCAGGGAAAGTAGAGAATGGTGAGTTTTTGCAAGTTTACTTGAAGGAGAAGTTACCGAAAAGGCTTCATTATTCCGACAGTTCTCGGATTCCGCCGATTGTAGGAATGGTTGGAGAAGGCCTCGTGGTCAGACAAAACAGAACAAACATTCACGAATGTTACGGAGATCATGGATACTCTTAGTGCAGAAGAATCTGCTGAAACAATAGGATCAGTGAAGTAGTGAAGAGTTCATGTGCTACACAGAAGCTGGAAGGAATAATCAGCAAACTAAGGAGAAAAATATTCTTGTGAATAGGCACGTCAGGTGGCACCTCGAGTTGGGAACCCCACTACCCTAAAGCGTACGCGGGAAGTTGGGTTTGGGAAATAAGGAGATCTGACACAAGTGCACAAAGTCAAGGTGCAAGTGGGATTGCTTACTGTTGATCAAAGGTTGATGGGATTGGTGGTCTGACATCAACAGGAACAGTTCTGTTGTCCTTTCAGATTAAGGGGGAGCTGTTTTTAGGGCTATAGGAGTTGCTGGTTGCTACTACTATAAAAGGAGGGGGGATAGTTCATATGCCAACTAGTTCTTCCGAAATAGGTCTTCGAAGAACACAGAAACAGTGAGAGCCATTTGATCTGTTGTGTTGAGTGAAAGAGATAGGTTTCATAACTGTTTTTACGTTACATTGGGTAGAATAGGAACACGTTCAGGAACGAATCACGGTGTGTGTGATATCGCGTAACTCTGGGTAGAATAGGTTGTAGGATCTGTTATATAGAAGTGTTTGAGTAATCTATCTGTTGCAACAGCTGTGTCGTGTATCAGCTGTTGTGTCATGCGAGGAAAGCAATAAAGACTATGTGTTTTTATTGGAAACTATCTATCTCTTGTTCATATCTCTGTTCAAGTATCTTGTGCAAAGGTTCCTGCTTTTTCAT